GAATAAACAAACACTCGTTCCATAAATAAAAAAAATAAACAAACAATCGTTCCATAAATAAATAAACAAAACAAACATAGATAAACAACAAACAAACAAACCGCTACACAAACAAACAAAACAAACAAACAACGAGACTAACCTGTCCAATGCCCGTCGCCCATCCTCCCCATAGGGTTTCGTCCCCCCACCCACCCCCACTCCCCCCATAGGGTTCCGGCCCTCTCCTCTTTCTCTAACTATCTACTTACTCTAGCCGTGCCATTCGTCCTCGATCTACCCTCATCTACTCGTATCAGCCCTTAAGTTCTACTCGTTGGCCAGGTAGGTCGCTGTGAAGTACCTTACCATATAATCCTAATCCTATAAATTGAAATATTGATAATAATAATGATGACATAATAATAATAACAAAACTCATCATCACAAAACAATAATAATAATAATAATAAATAATAACAATCATAATAAATAAACCACGACAAACATAACACTTCTAACAGCATATGAAAAAAACAAACAAATAAAACAAAACAAAATAAAGGTTCAAGAGTCTCCTGCTGCCGCTTCGTACCCACTTCCGACGGTCCCCGCTTGGTGACCTTGAAAGCGTACTCAAAATCAACCGATTTTTTTTTTTTTTTTTTTTTTTTTGCACTCTTTAAGAGAGCAAAACGAATCATTTCTCCGAACGTGTTTTTTTTTCCGACAATTTTTTCCCCCAGGCGCTCCGTTCGCTGCCTCCCCCCCCCCCCCCCCGCCCTCCCCCGTGCCAAGTAGAAAGCGTAATCACGGGTTAATTAATTAAGTTCCCCGCCATCACGCCTCATTAATCGGTTTCTGGGATATGGCCGCCCGTCACTGCAATTTATTTATGAAATTATTCACGACCATGTGGCAATGCAGTAATAAAATGATGAAATGATGAATAATACAACACATGGATTGATAACGATAACGCTCATAAAATACAGAGAATGAAATAAAACCCAAAATGTACCTCGTAACACAACTCGGGCGGCAAAAAAGATCAAAGGATGACTAGCGCCTCTTTCCCTCGCCCTCGCGCACGCACGCACGCACGCACACAGAACTACCCTTCAGTCAGGGACCCTCCACCCCCACCTTCACACATACACACACACACACACAACACACAACACACACATCACACACACACACACACACACACACACACACACACACACACACACACACACACACACACACACACAACACCACCCCCCCCCTACACACACACACACGGTCCTTCGACGACGCCGCTCGCGGGAGTGGAAATGGCGGCGGCCGACAGCGCCTGCCACCGGAGGACAGCCCGTGCTTCCCATCTTGGTCCATCGCACAGACTCGGCTAGGAGGAAAGCGGGACGGGGGACGGGGGAAGGGGAGGGGAAGGGAGAAAGGGGAAGGAAGAAGGGGAAAAGGTGAAGGGAGGGAGGGAGGGGAAGAAGGGGGAGGGGGAGGAGGAGAGGAAGGGGGAGGGGAGGAGGAAGGGGGAGGGGAAGGGGAAGGGGGAGGAGGGAGGAGGAAGGGAAGAAGAAGGGGAAAGGGGGGAAGGAGAGGGGGGAAGGAAGGAAGGAGGAAGGGGAGAAGGAGGGAGAGAAAGAAGGAAGGAAACAAGAAGGTGAGAGAAAAAAGGAAAAGATACGACATTCAAAAAGGCCGGTGAGTCACTATCTCCCCGAGGTAGGGCAAGGGTGGGTCGCTCACCCTTAGAAGAAGGACAGAAGCTGCGACGTCGTGCACCGTGGTTCATAGCGCAGAGTGTGGAATTCATGTTGAACAGATTGCAACAGGAACAGCGAAGGGGAGGGCAAGAAAACACTATTTTCACTATTGCCCTGACGAAGCAATAGCGAAAAGGCCTACGGCATATTCGTGTGTTTTCCTGCCCTTCCCTTCGCTGTTCCTGTTGCATAGCGCAGAGTGCACGCCCGACAATCGCCTGAAAATGCTCCATCGCAAAACGTTTCCCCAAGGAGACCAATAATAAAGACTTATCAATATGTCGTTCAACATTTACCTTCACATATTTCCCAGGTGATCAATAAAATCAAGTTCAAGATAGCAGCAAACGTTCCTAATTCAAGTCTGAACAGAAAGCATATATAAATATATATGCTTGTGAAAACCTATAGCGGTATCACGAACAGAAATAAGAGGAATAAAAAACTAATCATTATTCTACACACACATATATACATACACACACACACACATATACATATACATACACATTACCATCCTATTAGAAATCAATTATCTTTTCCACGATGACGATCAAACCAACGTTTCTTTTGAAAAATTTTCCTCTACTGGACTCTGCCGCGTTTGAATCTCCCGCCATTTTCCCATTTTCTATGCCCGTCAAGTTAGCTCTCACCCATCATATTAACACCTTCCTTCAAAGGACCAACACTTCAAACAGTCGTAAAATCCCCCTAGACTTTATAACAGGAAAAAAATAATACAGACAATG